AAAAAGTTGGACACAGCTTAGTGACTGAGCACAAGCACATATAAGAGTATATCACCTTGGATAAACCATGATGAAAAGAATATAAGAATGTATGTATATGTACAACTGAGTCACTTTGCTGTACGGCAGAGATTAATACACATTGTAAATCAACTCTACTTCAATAAAAACAAAAAGTGTATCAGCAGTATATACTGCTTTATAATGCTCCATTGAACTAACCTCTCAGGAAAAATAACTCAGTACAATTACTTCCCAGTATACTCCTGTGATAGTATTTCTGTCTTTTAAATTTGATCAGTAGATGACAGTCTTTCCAGAGAATGATATCAGTGATTTAAACCTGTGCAACAAGACTGTGAGAGAAACTGATGCTTCAAGTAAAACTGAGCTTCTTCCAGGAAACTTAACTACCAAAGCTCCATTGATTCAGAACTTAAGGAAAAGAACCCTTTATTTCCACACATTTTAAATTATAAGTAACTTAGACAATTTTGTTATAGGAACATTGCATTTTAAGAGGCTCCAGTTTATACAGAGCAGCAGTGCAATTTTGTGGGCAAGAAAACAAAACCCAAGGAGATTACCATTTCCCCAGTGAGGAGTGGAGAGACCAGAGTAAAACCAGAGCGAGACTCTCGGTTCCTAACTCCAAACCCCACCTCCTGTCCCTCCCTTCTCCAATATTTGGAGGTGGTGGCAGCCTACAGTAAGTGGCTGTATTCCAGTTTTGACCACACAGTCATGGATTCAGTTCAGTTCAGTCACTCAGTCATGTCTGACCCTTTGCGATCCCATGACCTGCAGCACGCCAGGCCTCCCTGTCCATCACCAACTCCCTGAGTTCACCCAAACCTATGTCCATTGAGTTGGTGATGCCATCCAACCATCTCATCCTCTGTCATCCCCTTCTCCTCCTGCCCTCAATCTTTCCCAGCATCAGGGTCTTTTGAAATGAGCTGTTCGCATCAGGTGGCCAAAGTATTGGAGTTTCAACTTCAACATCATTTAGTGCTCATGGGTTAGCACTACATTTTTAAGATAATAGAACTCACAGCCAGCAGTGTGGTGCTCTCAAACATAGTACCATGGTCCATTCAATGAGCCAAATCTTGACCCCACCCCCAACATACCCCTGCTGTATATAAACTGGGTAAACCCATTAGCCGTAAGTCATTTTAAGAAGTAAATAAGTAGGGTTGAGATTTCTTGAAATATTAAGGCCTTTTAGCATAAGACAGATTCTTGGCAACAGTGAGGTGCTACTTCTTTAGCAATGTACAGAATTTAAGACAATAACTGAAGACCAAAGAAAAGTGAGCAATCTATAGTCAGTATATATATTTAAAAGATCTTACAGATAGAGAGGAACTCATGAGCAGTATATTATGGCATGTTCTCTGTTTCGGTTTTTACACTGGTATATGTTGAGGTTCTCGAGAAGAAATAGCTAACCAGGTCGCTCTTGACTCCTCAGGAGCTTATAAGTTGATCGAGGAAACAAAACACACCATGTAAATTTCAGTTCAGTTGCTCGGTCGTGTCCATCTCTGCAACCCCATGGACTCCAGCATACCAGGCTTCCCTGTCCCATCACCAACTCCTGGAGCTTGCTCAAACTCATGTCCATCAGGTCAGTGATGCCATCAAACCATCTCATCCTCTGTCATTCCCTTCTCCTGCCTTCAATCTTTCGCAGCATCAAGGTCTTTTCAAATGAGTCAGCTCTTCGCATCAGGTGGCCAAAGTATTGGAGCTTCAGCCTCAGCATCAGTCCTTCCAATGAATATTCAGGACTGATTTCCTTTAGGATGGACTGGTTGGATCTCCTTGCAGTCCAAGGGACTCTCAAGAGTCTTCTCCAACACCACAGTTCAAAAGCATCCATTCTTCAGTGCTCAGCTTTCTTTATGGTCCAACTCTCACATCCATACCTGACTACTGCAAAAACCCTAGCTTTGACTAGATGGACCTTTGTCAGCAAAGTAATGTCTCTGTTTTTCAGTATGCTCTCTACATTGGTCATAGCTTTTCTTTCAAGGAGCAAGCATCTCTTAATTTCATGGCTGCAGTTACCATCTCCAGTGATTTTGGAGCCCAAGAAAATAAAGTCTGTCACTGTTTCCATTGTTTCCCCATCTATTTGCCATGAAGTGATGGGACCAGATGCCATGATCTTTGGTTTTTTAATATTAAGTTTTCTTTTCCATTTATTTTTAGTTAGTTCATTTAGTTGGAGGCTAATTACTTTACAATATTGTAGTGGTTTTTGTCATACATTGACTTGAATTAGCCATGGATTTACATGTATTCCCCATCCCGATCCCCCCTCCCACCTCCCTCTCTACCCGCTCCCTCTGGGTCTTCCCAGTGCACCAGGCCCGAGTACTTGTCTCATGCTTCCAACCTGGGCTGGTGATCTGTTTCACCCTAGATAACATACATGTTTCGATGCTGTTCTCTTGAAACATCTTTTTAAGCAAGCTTTTTCACTCTCCTCTTTCACTTTCTTTTTCTTTTTTTTTTCCTCTTTCACTTTCATCAAGAGGCTCTTTAGTTCCTCTTCACTTTCTGCCATAAGGGTGGTGTCATCTGCATACATTTCTCCCTGCAGTCTTGATTCCAGCTTGTGCTTCATCCTTGCCAGCATTTCGCATGATGTATTCTGCATATGAGTAAAATAAGCAGGGTGACAATATACAGCCTTGACGTACTCCTTTCCCAATTTGGAACCAGTCCGTTGTTCCATGTCTGGTTATAACTGTTGCTTCTTGACCTGCATACAGATTTCTCAGGAGGCAGGTAAGGTGGTCTGGTATTCCCATCTCCTGAAGAATTTTCCAGAGTTTGTTGTGATCCCCACACTCAAAGGCTTTAGTGTAGTCAGTAAAGCAGTAGTAGATGTTTTCCTGGAACTCTCTTGCTTTTTCTATAATCCAATGGATGTTGACAATTTGATCTCTGGTTCCTTTGCCGTTTCTAAATCCAACTTGAACATCTGGAAGTTCTCAGTTCACATACTATTGAAACTTAGCTTGGAGAATTTTGAACATTACTTTGCAAGTATGTGAGATGAGTGCAGTTGTGTGGTAGTTTGAACATTCCTTGGTATTGCCTTTCTTTGGGATTGGAATGAAAACTGACCTTTTCCAGTCCTGTGGCCACTGTCGGGTTTTCCAAATTTGCTGGCATATTGAGTGCTGAACTTTCACAGCATCATCTTTTAGGATCTGAAATAGCTCAACTGGAATTCCATCACCTCCACTAGCTTTGTTTGTAGTGATGCTTCCTAACACCCACTTGACTTCATACTCCAGGATGTCTGGCTCTAGGTGAGTGATCACACCATCGTGGTGATCTGGGTCATGAAGATCTTTTTTGTATAGTTTTTCCACTGACGGTGGAAGCAGTGTTAGACTTTATCTTTTTGGGCTTCAAAATCAGTGCAGATGGTGATTTCAGCCATGAAATTAAAAGACGCTTACTCCTTGGAAGGAAAGTTATGACCAACCTAGATAGCATATTAGAAAGCAGAGACATTACTTTGTCAACAAAGGTCCATCTAGTCAGGGCTATGGTTTTTCCAGTGGTCATGTATGGATGTGAGAGTTGAACTATAAAGAAAGCTGAGCACCAAAGAATTGATGCTTTTGAACTGTGGTGTTGGAGAAGACTCTTGAGAATCCCTTGGACTGCAAGGAGATCCAACCAGTCCATCCTAAAGGAGATCAGTCTTGGGTGTTCATTGGAAGGACTGATGCTGAAACTGAAACTCCAATACTTTGGCCACCTCATGCGAAGAGTTGACTCATTGGAAAAGACCCTGATGCTGGGAGGGTGGACGACAGAGGATGAGATGGCTGGATGGCATCACTGACTTGATGGACATTAGTTTGAGTCAACTCCGGGAGTTGGTGATGGACAGGGAGGCCTGGCATGCTGCAATTCATGGGGTCGCAAAGAGTCGGACATGACTGAGCAACTGAACTAACTCTGTGTATTTTTGCCACCTCTTCTTAATATCTTCTGCTTCTGTTAGGTCCATACTGTTTCTGTCCTTTATTGTGCCCATCTTTGAATGAAATGTTCTCTTGGTATCTCTAATTTTCTTGAAGAGATCTCTAGTCTTTCCCATTTTATTGTTTTCCTCTATTTCTTTGCATTGATCACTGAGGAAGGCTTTCTTGTCTCTCCTTGCTATTCTTTGGAACTCTGCATTCAAGTGGGTATATCTTTCCTTTTTTCCTTTGCCTTTTACTTCTCTTTTCTCAGCTATTATAAGGCCTCCTCAGACAACCATTTTGCCTTTTTGTATTTCTTTTTTTTGGGGATCGTGTAAAGGACTCTCCATATTCAGACAGAGCAAGATGGGGTCCAAAGGTGTTTTAGTTTCAGTTGACCGTGAAGTAGACCAAGACAAGGAATCTGAGCACAGGTCTTTCCAAAGGAAGGTGTAAGAACCATGGGAGAAGGGTAGTGAGACAGGGAAGAGAAAGTGGCCAATAAAGGGAGCATTATTAGACAACAGTTTCTGTGGGTGACTAGAAAATAATCCTGTGAGGAAACACTGATAAATACTGAGTTAGCCAAAAAGTTCACTTGGTGTTTCCTTAAAATGCTATGGAAAAACACAAAGGAACTTTTTGGCCAACCCCAAGAGTACAGAACACACACCTCCGAGTTATTCTACCCAAAGGGTAGGGAAATTTGGTTTGTTATATTTCAGCTCTTCTCAGGGCTAGGGTTGGGGTATTGAAGGGTTCTCCCAGGGGTATTATTTCTGGGGCACTTCTGCCCGCCTGGCACCTGGGCACAGCAGACTTCTGCAACCCTGAAAAAAAGCCTTCAGGCACAGTAAGTGACCCTGACACCCAGAAGTCTACCTGTGCACATAAAACAGAAGGGTCCAAGGAATGTGGGTAGGGGAGTGACCATGGCTGCCACAGGAGGATTCTTGGTGGAGGTGAGACTTGAGAGCACTCTTTCTCTTCTCTCCTCAGGTGTATTCATGGTCCTCTCCCTATTGTCCATTGTGTACGGAGCCTTGCGCTGTAACATCCTAGCCATCAAGATCAAATATGATGAATATGATGTCAAGGTGAAGCCCCTGGCCTATGTCTGTATCTTCCTCTGGAGGAGCTTTGAGATTGTCACCCGAGTCATTGTCCTGGTCCTCTTTACCTCTGTCCTGAAGGCCTGGGTGGTCATAGACATACTCATCAACTTCCTCGGCTTCCTCTTCTACCCCTGGATCCTCTTCTGGTGCAGTGGCTCCCCCTTCCCTGAGAACTTTGAGAAGGCCTTCAGTCGGCTGGGCACCACCATTGTGCTGTGCTTCCTCACCCTCCTCTACGCCGGGATCAACATGTTCTGCTGGTCGGCGGTGCAGCTGAAAATCAACAACCCCGACCTCATCAGCAAGTCTCAGAACTGGTACCGGCTCCTGGTGTACTACATGGTGAGGTTCATCGAGAACGCCTTCCTCCTCCTCATGTGGTATCTTTACAAGACTGACATCTATATGTATGTGTGCGCACCCCTGCTGATGTTGCAGTTGCTCATTGGGTACTGCACAGCCATTCTATTCATGGTTGTGTTCTATCAGTTCTTCCACCCTTGCAAAAAGCTCTTTTCCTCCAGTGCTTCTGAAAGTTTTCAGGAGTGGTTAAAGTGTGCCTGCTGTCACCGCAGGCAGCGGGAATCCTGCGAGTCTGCAGAAAAGACAGACCTAAGGTCACCCGCAGACAGAGAGGAGACCCCTTCTAGCAGTAAAATAAGTTCCATGCCCAGCCAGATCTTGAATACTGATGAGCTCTCTTCTGCCTAATGGGACCTGAGTCTCTTGAGGCCCAGATGTAGTGTTTGCTGGGTTGATCCCTGTTCTTCATGCAAGTGATGGGCCCTGCACAATTAACAAAGCAGGAATTTAGCTCTCAGCTCCTTGTGAGTTGCTCCCTTTAGAGAGCTCTTGGGCAGATGAGTGGGAACCATGGAGAGAAGTCAGGGGAACCCGTGAGTGTTGCAGCAGCAGCCTAAAGCACCACTATTCACAGTTGACCATGTTCTCCCATACGTCACTGGCCTTGTCATTGACAAAGTACCCATGATATCTGAGTTGGCTATTGAGAGCCGTCACATAGAATGAGGACAAGGGATTTCTTGCGTTCTAGTTTTCTGGACTACTGGTTTAGTTAGCCTAATGTTTTATTATCCCTGAGAAGAGTTCTCACCTAAGAGCTGTCTGATGACCAGAAATGGTCACTGGGGTTTTTGCCATCAGCCACATCATTCCTGTCAGAGTTTTCAGAGAAGGCTGTTCAAGTTTGATTTTTGAATAGACAAATTTTCCATTTTCATCTCATTAGGGCTCTTTGTACATAACCAACAATAGCAACCTTGGTCTCCTATTTCTCATTGACTCAAAAGTCTGGATTTGCATACTGTATTCTTAAGAATCCATGGATGCAAAATTAAATTCTCAGTTTGGTTACGGAAGCTGTAGAGTTTTAGGAAAGTTGTGTTCTTTCAATATGTAGGATAAACTCTGGATCAAAGGGGTTGTTAAAATATCAAAATGATTTTAGCTTTTATAAGCAGGATTCTTACCTTCTTGTGATGGTTGAAGATGTGAATCTGCTAGAAGGTAGGCTTAACCTCTTCAAGATTCAGTCCCATCCTACAGTTTTGGAAACTCCTAGTAGAATTGGCTAGGATTTGTCTTAAGAAAGAAGAAAATAAAACTCAAGTCTTTATTCCACCTCTTCCTTGCCTGTCAGGAAAGTTTCAGGCAAGAGTTACCTTGGTTAACTTAAGTTCTTCTAGAAAACTCCATAGAAATTTCTCACCTAGCACAGGTATATAGGGCATTTTAATTTTCATTATTTGAAGGAACAGAGTTCCCCCCTTCAGTTAGATACAGACTTCAGAAACTTAAATTTTACAAAGAGATGGCATGACCAGAAGATTTTTATCTTTAACTGAATGTACCTTGATATGGTGCGATTATGAGTTAATTTGAATAAGAACTTCAATTTTATCCTCTTACACTCTCCTATCTTCAGTATAATTTCTCCTTTAATTTGGAACCCTGTTTCTTTCATAAAAGGATCTGTAGAATCTCCTCAGTTGTCCAGGGAAAATGCCTGGATCTAGTGCCATGATATCTACCATAAAAACCTTGATAATGAAATATCTGGGAGCAGGTGACCTGTCACTGGCAAAGCTGGACATTGCAGGTCAGTCAGGGTTGACAGTCTTAGGACCCTAATGGCTGAACTTTCTGAACCACCCAGTTTCTAATAGCTAGTTTGTCAGGGAACAGGTTAAAATGGTGAGTTTGAGCAGGAGTTGTGGTCAGAATTAGACCAGGATGGAGAGACTGGTACTTCCCCAGCCTTCATTTGGAAGTCTATCTCAAGAACCATTACAAAATCTGGGCCTTCAAATACATTTAAAATCATTTTAATGTAGCATGTAGGTAAGCATATTGAGTGACCCCAAATCAAACTAACAGTGATGGTCTGTCACACTCCCAAAGCCCAATTTTAAGCCACATTTATAAGGATATTTATAAGGTTTGGTAACTAAATTGGACATTTTGTTATCTTTAACTCTTCATATGCAGATACCCCCACTTTGGGACCATATACATGTAGTCACTTTGGGGAAAGAAACCACTGCTTTTTTCATGGCAAAAATTTAAATCCTAGTGAACTGAGAAATTTTTTTAATAATTTATATTATACCTCTGAAAAAGCAAAATTATGCAGAACTAGGTTACCCTAAAGACAAACAGACCAGCAAATCTCCTCCTATCTTGAGAGTTAAAACGTCTTTTTCAGTTATAATTCCAATTTTTAAAACTCTCAGTGCTTTGTCTAATTAATTACATGCCTTAACTTGTCATAAGAGATGCACCAACTGAATCACTATCATTTGACTGGATGGAAGTGAAGTATTTCCTCCAAATATATTGAAACAAGGTCATGACACATGTGTAGACTTTCTTCATTCCTGGAGACAGTGCAGTATAGAGGTTGGCATCAACTTGATAACCCAGCAAATTACTTACTTACTGTCTGCCTCAGTTTCCTCACCCATCAGATTTGCATGATATTCTTGCCCCACCTACCTCACAAGGTTGTCAGCAGAACAGATTTAAATAATAGCTGTGAAAATGCTTTGAAAATGTTTTTAAAGTGCCATGCATGTTTAAAGAAGTTGTTTTTATAGTTACTCAAATCCGGAAACAGGTTATTGTTTTTGTTTTACTGTTAGAAAAGAAACAAGTAACATCATTCACATGAGTGTCTTCAGGGAATATGTCGGCCTCTGACCTTATGGAAGGACAAGTGTAAATGGTCTTTACTCTTAGAGGGAACTCAGCAGTTGTTCTTTCCCTTACCATCAGTTACTTAAAAAATTAGCACTCAAGCATATAGTACTTGGAGGAAAAAGACCCACTGAAATTTGAGAAATTGCTTTTGATAGAAGATGAGCTTATCATTTTTGTATCTGTCATGTTTTATAAAGGATATAACAGCATCTTTTGTTAATTTTGCTTTACAATTTGAATGCCTGATTCTGCTAGACTTTAATTGAATGTGGATATAATCTTTTCAGCCTTGTAAATGGGAAAAATAAACTTTAAAATTGATTGTCAAATGCAACATTTCCTTGGAAGCCTCCTTAGAACATTAGTGCTATGGTTATGAGTGTATGTATCAGTACTTCTCAGCCTGTACATTGTGGATGAGAGCTTTTGCAGGCTGCTTCTCAGCAGCCATTCACTCTAATAAATATTGTTTATGTTTCTTCATATAATAAATTAATTTTTCAATTTCTCCTTGCTTTTCATTCCTTAGAGTCCTTGCATGACTTTTTTACTTCAGGGACTATTTTAGAAACAAAATTGAAACTGTTTTTTTTGTGATTAATTATGATTTTATAATCTCATCTGGAAATTTTGTCTGTAGGATGAGAAATTTGAGAGTGTTAGTGCTGTGCCTGGCAAGACACCAACAGTCCATAAAATTCCTCTGATTGTTTTATAAACCTTTATCCCATTTTTTAAAGCTACACTGCTAAATCCTAAAACTCTGCTCAAACTTAAGTGGTATACTGATCCAGAAATATAAGATATCAAATGAGTGACTTAATAGTTACATAAGCAAATAGTCAAATTGTAAATGATGATCTGTGATTGGAAAAAAATCAGGTTTTTTCTACATGTCAAAATGCATTATTTTTTTTATTGAGGTATACTTGACATATTAGGTTCAGGTGTACAAGTATAATGATTCAGTATTTGTATACATTGCAAAATGATAACCAGTAATTCTACTTATCATCTGTCACCATACAAAATTACAAAACTTTTTTCTTGTGATGAGTTTTTAAGATTTACTCTCTTAGCAACTTTGAAATATGCAGTACAATATTGTTGACTCTGGTCATCATGCTGTTTATTATATCCTGTGACTTATTTAGGACTAGAAATTTGTGCCTCTTGATCCCCTCCATGGATTTTACCCACCCACCCCAACTGGTAACCACTAATCTATTATCTATATCTATGTGAAGTTGCTCAGTCGTGTCTGACTCTTTGCGACCCCATGGACCATAGCCCACCAGGCTCTTCGATCCATGAAATTTTCCAACCAAGAGCACTGGAGTGGGTTGCCATTCAATCTCCAGGGGTTCTTCCTGACCCAGGGATCGAACCCTGGTCTGCCACATTGCGGGCAGATGCTTTTACCATCTGAGCCACCAGTTCGGTTCAGTTCAGTCGCTCAGTCGTGTCCAACTCTTTGCGACCCCATGAACTGCAGGACTCCAGGCCTCCCTGTCGATCACCAACTCCTGGAGCCACCAGGGAAGCCCTTTATATCTATGAGGGGTTTTTTTTGTTTATTTTAAGAAAGATAAATACTGTATTATTTTACTTATATGTGGAATCTAAAAACCAAAACAGTTATTAAAGGGGTCATTTTTGGAGCATGAACTAGACAAGGATTGTTGCAATCATTTCTTTGCCTCTGAAGGTGGCCTTGCAATTTGGAAAGACTTAGCTATAGGACAAGTCTTTTGGAAGAGATCTCTTGGTGTTAAGTCAACCCCTTGAGAAAACAGAAGGTCAACAAGAGTAGTGTTTAAGTAGGTCATTCTAAAATTATTTCATATCGTATTTGTAAATGTTTTATTTTGAAATAATTTCAACTAATAGAAGAGCCTTAGGAATAGTGCAAGGAATTCCTTTATCCTTCACTCAGTTTCATGTATTAATATTTTGTCATGTTTACTTTATAATTCTTACTTTCACTCTTTTTCTGTTTTATTCCTAAACACTTCACTGTGTATTCTCTTATACACTGAACAAAGTCATTTTCTTACCTAGCCATAGAACAGTGATCAAATTCTGGAAATTCAACGTGATTATGATACTGGTATCTAATCTAGAGTTCATATTCCATTTAACAATTAAATCAATTCATTTGTTTCCAGAAACCTTCCTTAACAATGTGAATCTACTCAGTTCTCTTCTATGAGTTCTCTTTGTTTAAAGTTATGATGAAATTTTAACTTCCCTATGAAAGCTGGGAAAACTGGAGCAGACTTTGAAAATCTATTTGAAGATAACATGCATTTTATCAGTACTAATAGCTTAACAGCATAAATTTGGGATGTTTACTGGCAAACTGTGTTGTTCAGTTGGTAAGTTGCATCTGACTCTTTGTGACCCCATTGACTGCATCTCACCAGGCTCCTCTGTCCTCCACTGTCTCCCAGAATTTGCTCAAATTCAAGTCCATTGAGTTGGTGATGCTT